ATCTGCGCCCACACAACCAAAAACCGAAGTTCTTATCCACTCAGCTAGATAGCAAACACGGAACATGATTTTAAAGATGCATGCTCAAAATTCTCTTAATACAAAAACTATGAGGCTAGAACTTTCTGCGTGTTTCTGTTGCTCCATGTACCTCAGGATCTTGCAGTGTTTTAGATTCATTATCAGTCAATTTTGACTTTCTGAATTTTTTAGAATGAATTTTCATGGTATAAAGTGAAGGTCCCAGCACATAGCGCTAGCACAGTGCCTGGCAAATAGCAAGGATTTAATACATTTTTGTTGAATGAACAAATGAGTGCATGAATGATCAAATGAGGTGATCTCCAAATCGAAATAAGAGAGTCAAAATGAGAAAACTTCACACGGTATAGGTGGAAACTGATGCAAGATATTATCCACGAAACTTTCGGGAAAGTTTGGGAAAATCCAGATTTACCATAAAAATAATTTGAATGTTATTTAACTTAATTGGATTTTATTTAGTACAGTAAATGTAACTGGAGTATCGTAATTGGAATTTAGGAACAAATCAAGTGATTTGTGTTCTCTCTGGGTTAAGGTAGGTTGGACAAAAGGGGAAATTTCTGTTGCCCTTACAAGTTTGAGAACCACTCCCTGAACAGTATGTAGTCAGTGTTCTGTGACTTTCATTTTGCGAGTTTGTTTTGCTTGTTTTTGTTTTGCCTTGTTTTGCAAATAGCCCCCTGGCCTTCTATTGTTGCCCCCCCACCCCCACATCTCAGGCGTCACTCTCTCACTCCCCTGTTAAACTATAAAACAATGAATAGAAGCTCAAAATAGTTCAGCACCGTTTGCTATTTTAAACAAATCCTGGCTGGATCTGCATGTGCCTAAGAACTCTGCACTAGGAGCAGCCCCCTCCGGGTCCCCATCACTGGGAGAAGCCATCAGGTGGACCCACTCTGTATGACATCACCGAGAACCCAGTAGCAGCAGACCATTTCGGAGAGCTTGGCGGGTTCTCGCTCACAAACTTGTTCTTGTCTAGTGTCACTAAGCCATCTGAAACCACGAATGACACATTTCCAATCCATGTCTAAAGTTCTGCTTTCATGGCCTCTGACTTTTAGGTCCTCGAAGTACAAGTATGGGATTCGTTCTAAATCATGAGGATGGTCCGATGAAATTGTTAACAGAATGGTTTGTTTCTGGTGGATAACAACTTATTGGAAATAAGAATTAAGATAATATGCTTTCTTTTACATGATTGATAGTGTTTCCAGCCACCGCCTCTGATCGACTCAGGCTATAATTTTGTGGCATTAATGATAAAGGACTTAATGAGAGGCTTTCCTTCTTTCCCCATGTAGGTCTCACTGCCATACACAAAACCAAAGTCCCCTAACTAGGAAGCTTCCATTCCACACAGGCAGGCCCAACTGGATTTATGGATTACACCACTAGAGCTCACTCAGCAAGTAACACATTAATCATTTTTTTTTCTTACCAAGGCATTTTACCTTCCAATGTGAATTTCAGAACTTGTCTTGATTAATGCTGATGTGCTGAACACTGTTGCCATTAAGTCATAGATCTTGCAAAAAGCCACTTGGAATAATTCACATACCTCCTGGAGAAAAGTTTTTCAAAATTCTCAGTGCAATATTCTGATGGATTAATCTATGATATCCTGATGCTTCTTTCAAACGGTGGCTTTCCTTCTAATAGTTCTTTTCTAGGATTTTTTCCCTATCATGTCAATTTAGTGAAAACAGTCTTCCTGCTTCAAAGCTGTATATGAACCACAGATATTGAAGTTGTTCTCCATGCTAATTTTTAGGGTTTGAGGGCAATACCTCTAGGACCCCCAAACAAATTTTACTACTATCCTTTTACATTTAATGAAAATATATCTAGAGAAGATGTAATATGTGCAAGTATCTGTGTGCTAGCCTTTTTTTTTTTTTAAAGATTTTATTTATTTATTTGAGAGAGAGAATGAGAGAGAGAGAGCATGAGAAGGGAGAGGGTCAGAGGGAGAAGCAGACTCCCTGCTGAGCGGGGATCCTGATGCGGGACTCGATCCCGGGACTCCAGGATCATGACCTGAGCCGAAGGCAGTGGCTTAACCAACTGAGCCACCCAGGCGCCCTGTGTGCTAGCCTTTTAAGCTAGTAATTATTTACCCATTTACCCTCAGCAACACTGAACTTTACAGAAGTGTATTTCCATAGGAGAAACAGTGATTCAAGATTCAAAGTCTCCCCATCCTTTCTTGAACTAGGTCATGACATCTCTGTAAAAAAAACACATTCTCTATTAGAAGCGAGTCACAGTTATTAAACTATATCCTCATGGAGGCAGAAAGTTGATGGTAAATTACCCAGGAAAGAGTAAACTGATTTTAAATGCAACCACCGGGAATTTAATCAACAGTTAAATGGCACCTTGATTTTTAAATTATATAAAAGACACTTGCTATATTTTCTACTGTGAGCACCTACCCCAACGTCTGCCATGCAGTTAGTGTTCAAAGTCAAGAGAATAGAAGTCTCAGAAGTTTTTAGTGAGAGGCTGGTGCGAAAGCCTTCTTCAATTCAACCACTAGGTGGCACACAGGGACCGCACTTCACACACTGAACCATCACAGACCCTACCTTTCATGGTGTAAATAAAGAGCTGCATTATTAATTTATGCCATCACGTCCACTCTACACCTAATATTTGTTTAACCAGTTCTTTCCTCTAATTCTCCTTAAACACTATTGATTAAAATCCTAAGTGTATTCAGGTTTCATCCCTCCTCATTTTCCTCCAACAATATTTTGTCACCTTTAAATAACAGACTAAGTACATTTAAATAACACAGACAAAGTACCATGGTTACTAATAATGAATCCAACATGTTGGAAAATTAACTAAAGGCAACAGAAGCCTCTGATGTAAAAGTTATTTTCAAATTTGCTTTGCATTTTGTTGGAATTTTAATTGGTGGAATATTATCTTAAAAAAGTAATCTGGAAAATAAAACATGCATGGGAAACAAGCAAAAGGAAATGAAAAGAAAACCAGCACTAGTGTTTTCTGGAAAAGGGAGTTATTTCCTGAAAAAGGATTCGTGTTCATTTTTCCAGAAACGAAGTACAGTTCTACCTTCAGATTTAAACCCTTCTTCAACTCTTCAGAAAATACCAGTATTCTGCAACCAAGATGTTAAAAGGCAGGACTTTGGTAAACCATCTACTTATAAAGTATCTTTCTGCATATTCTGCCAAATGTATTTATCCTGGATGTGTTACTTGCTCCCAAAGGAAGGAAGAGGAAGTGAAACCACTAGGGATATAATGAATTGATTCTTCTCTGTGAAAGTCTCTTCAGTACTTCTAAATTACAGTGTCAGTCATTCCTCTGAGAGACAGGGCCTGCTGACAATAAATAAATGGCTTGCTTTATAAGAACATGATGGTCTTCTCTTTTTTGTTTCTCATAGAAAGCTCAGACCCCCAGGACACTTCTGGAACACTGGCCTCTGGGTACATTCTCCCTAGGGACCAGCGATCTTTTGAGGTTGTTGCTTTTCTCTCACTCATTTAATTAAGTTTAAGGAAAACTACTTCTGCTTATCTAGTTTTCCCATTTTAAAAGCTGTTTCCAATTTTGTGAAGAGGTTACCAAAAATGTAACATCATTCTTTCAGCTTAAACAATTAAATTATTGAGAACAGATAGCCCCCAAATGACTAAAGACTAATAAATGCTCAATAGACCTCTGGCACACGTTCTAGTTTACTGAATGGAATCGAAAACTTCTTTATTAGTAGAAGTAAATGGGACTGAAGTTAAACACTGATGTAAGAATTATCACATTAAAAGTTATCCAGAGAGAGCTACTATGATACATTTCTGATAGAACAATGTTCCTATTTTATGATTCCATTGAAATATTGAAGTCATGGAAGTGTGTATAAAATTATTGCAATGTAGTACCCTGAAATAATCAAATAGAATGATTACCAGAAACTACAATTATAATGAATAAATATTACATTTCACTTAGAAATTAATTCACAGGCTTAATTTCTTAAAAACCGTTAACTTCCAAGATGCCAGCCAGTATGTTTGATTTTATGACATCACGTTGGAACATGTACAGGAACACTTTCCACCCTAAAAATTCCCAAATGTACTGGCCACTCGGTGTGTTTTTCCAGTGATAAATGAAAATAAAATAACTTATTTTCAAAATAATAAACCATCTCATTTTGAACACAACAGTCAAATTCAGTGGAAGAAAACAACTTCATTTAAGACCCAAAATGTTCGGATTTGCTTAGAGTGGTGAACCGTCTCAACACGTAAATCCTTTAAGCAACTTTTAATGGTAATCTTAACAACTATGATTTTAAAATATTTTTCAGTACCTTAAAATTAATTATCAAATCATTCAATGTATGAAGCACGTCATAACTCTATGATCTTAATTTCACAATTAACTGGAGCAGCAGGGACCAAAATTGGTAACATCTCAAAGTATCAATCTAACAGGTATTTCCTATGATTACAGTAACTTTCTTTTCCACACAAACCTATATATTCCCTAAAACAAAACTCTAAAATCTGGAATGGACATTCCCATTCCTCAGCATTTCCTTCAACCTATACTATCGTTTTTTTTTAAATCTCAGGTGCTATGAAAATGCTTGTTGAGACACAGATGGAAAAGCCACCGCTTGGAAACCACGCGCCTACCAGATTTATAGTAACAGGAGGAAAAGCCAGGATACTAGAGTTAATCCTTACCCCAATCTAGACTGAGCTTTTTTATTGCAATCCAGTATTTTATCTGACAATATGACTCTTCAAAAAAAAATTGAGATGTCATGTTAAACTCAAAAGAAAATGAGAGAAAATAAGAAAATCTGTTTTAATGTATATATACATCATAATATGTACTGCTCTCTGAAATCTTCAAGGCACTAATGTTTGAGAGGGAGAGTGAAAATTTTATGGAAGTTTTACCTTGTCCTGAAATCCAGAAGTTCAGATGCTCTCAAGTCCTGCTGAGGTTGGAGCCTGGAGATCAAGTGAAGCTAGGGCTCTTTCTCCTCACCTTAAGTTTGTCTCTGGGCAAGTGTGTGTGTGTGTGTGTGTGCGTGCGCGTGTGTGTGCGTGTGTGTGTGTGTGTGTGTGCGCGCAGAATGTCTCTTTGTGGCGCTGGATGGCAGAGGTCCTGGTCCTGGGAAGAAGGAGGCACTTTCTCACCAAGAGCAGAAGAAAAGCAAAGCGTCACCAGCAAAGTTCTCCTCCCAGATCCCCTAATTACAGCCTAACGTGCACTTCATGCAAACTTCAGGGAGGAAGGGAGGGGCAGCTCTGTGCCCAGATCTTGTGAAACAGCCGCTTCTTAGACGACTTTCCACTCCGCTCAGACCCCGGAGTATCCCGCTCAGGGCTTGGGAAAAGCAGCTACAGCCACAGCCCCCCCCCACACCACACCTCCTGCAGCCCCACCACTCCGGGGTCTGTACAGAGAGGCTGGGGCAAGGGGTCGGGAGAGCGAGCTATGGGGCAGCGGTGTGAGGCAGAAACGCCAGGACAGTACATTTTCGCTTTGATTTTTAGCCTCGGTTAAAAGGAAAACCCAAAGGTCGGAGATGTCCTAGCCTTTCCGTCTCCCTTTCCCCAGGAGATCCAGGGTGACTAGGTAGAGAGGCAATTATGGCAACAGCAGACAAAGTTTCCTAAACCGGAGGTGCCCTTCCACCCACATTGCAAGAAGTGTATTTTCTTGTTTATTGGACTCAATATCGATATTGGGTTTGAATCTCCGTTAACAGACAACTGCTATTGTATCCCTGGATGACGGAGCTCAAAGAACCTGGATTTATTTATAGAGTGAGGAATGCGAGGGGCGGACGAGATGGGTGGGGTTGGCTTATGGATCCATACCCAGGATTAGAACCAGATGGGCGCAGGGCGCGCGCGGGTGCGCGCACACACACGCACACACACCCCAAAATAACCACGGGGGAAGATGCTGGGACACGCGGGAAAACGCCTCCTGAACAAATAGACGTTTATTTATAACTCCGGGGAGGGTATATAGGTCCATTGATTCCCGCCTTGAGTAACCAAGGGTTTTGGAGAGGAAATGGCTTCATATTTCAATAACAGAGACACCTTTGATGGAGCCTGGGGGGGGGGGGGGGGGAAGAAACACACCGCAGGAAGCCAAGGGCTGTCGAAGCGGCCGGGAGGGAGCGGGGCCGGCCCGGGGGGGGATGAGGACAAGCAAACAAGCCCGAGGGCCCCGAGCCAAGGAGCGGGCGAGACGCGAGCTGGCTCGCCTGAGAGCCGGGGGAGCAGGGCACCCCGGGCGCGGGGCGTTGGGAGACCTCCAGAGGCTCGCGGCAGCTCTCCTGTTCCCGCCCGAGGGCCTGAGGGGGCGGGGGGCGCGGGCAGGACTGCAGGCTCCTCGCGACCCGCGCCTCAGCTTCACGGGCGCGCTGCTGGGGCGGGGGGCTGGGGGGCGGAGGGTCTGGCGGGCCGGCGGACTGATGCGCTGAGGGCTTGGTGCGGCCGGGGACTTGTGGGCAGAAAAGCCAAAGGAGTAGGGGCGTCCGTGGGACAGAAGCGCAGGTGAGACGCGGGGACCAGCGAGGCGGGGACGTCCGTGGGGCAGATGAGAGCGCTGGGCAGGGGGACAGGTCGGACGGGGGCGCGGGGAGGGCGGGGCGCGAGATCTGAGCTGCGCCCCAGGCGGCGAGAGGCGCTATTGTCTCAGAGATAAAGCCTAAGCCTAACCCTCGGCGGTGGCTTCGCCTTTGGAGAGAGGCGGGAAAGAGATCTTAAAAAAAAAAAAAATCTTCCCTGCTTTTCCTTGACGTATTTCACTGGTTCTTGCCCCCGGACCGTCGTCCTTGCCATTCCGGTGTGTGGTAAATTAACACGTGCCTCTTGGAAAGATTTTGTTACGAAAACACACCCAACACCCACAGATCCTCCCTAAATGAAGAGTTATATTCAAACTGAAAGAATTAAGAATGAACCCTCCAACAGTCAATTCAACACCTTTCTTGTACAGTCATTCCAAAACCTGGGCAAGACGCCTCTTTGGTCATTTTTTCTATTCCCCCCCCCCACAGAAAACAAGCCGCTAAAGGTTTTGCAAAATTCTGTAGTTAATTTAAGGGCTATTTGAGACAGCTGTTATACTGTAGGCCCCCACATTAACTGCCAACTAAAATAGGATACATCTCTGCTTTTCAACTATAAGAAGAGTGTTTATGCTATTTCTTGTAAATGTTCAGGATGATACGGATTTTGAGGAACATAAAGGAATTAGGGTTAAAAACAAATATCCTACAATTTTTATATCAAAGCTTCATCAAGATGGTGAGGCTGGTGGTATGTGGTTATGAAATCATATAAAGATAGGTTAAACACTAATCTTGTTCTTTCCACTTAAAAACCTAATTTCTGGAGGTGGCCTGGGGAGCACATCAAATCAGCTGGCCCATGGATGGTACTTGTTCCCTTTATTCCAGTGGGGCATTAAGAGAATGTACTGCATTCTCTTCAGAAATTGTTGGCCACACAAGACATCTGTTTGACAATTCTGTTGGACCACTGTAAGTTACTCTAGAATTTTTGTTTGTTTCAATTTCAGGCATAACCCCACCAATTGAGATAAGCTTTCCAGAAATAATGGCAACTACTTTACCACTGATATTCCAGACAAGAGTTATCTTGTCAGTCCTTTCCTACCTCTATTTCTTAGCTCCCTTTCCCAGGTACCTAGTTACTAGTTTTTGTTAAAAGATCTCTAGTATTTTTAATCACAAGTACTTAACCTACCAATAGTGTGTGTTTTTAAGTGTTATTCAGACTTAATTTAATTGACATGATCTACATTTCCATTCATTTTCATTTTTTTAAAAAGATTTTATTTATTTATTTGTCAGAGAGAGAGAGAGAGAACAGGAGCACAAGCAGGGGGAGCGGAAGAGGGAGAAGCAGGCTTCCTGCTGAGCAAGGAGCCCAATGCAGGACTCGATCCCAGGACCCTGGGATCACCGCCTGAGCCGAAGGCAGACGCTTAACAGACTGAGCCACCCAGGTGCCCCTCATTTTTAGTTTCATATGCTTTAGTAATTATTTAAAGTTTACAGTGGAATCAGCTTTAAGAGTCTTAAAATTTTTTTATGTTTAAATTAATTAATGTTCACGTAAATAATGCTTTATAGAGGTAGACATTACTTTGATCAGTTGTTAAAATTATTATACAATTATTACAGTAATATGCATATTAATAAGCTTTGGTTAAAAAAAATCAAATCAAGTAACTAACTAAATAAATACAAATATATTTCATGACCAAATATTTTACAAGGGTATAAGTTGTAAAAAAAAATTGGAAGACCCAAATATCTGTATTCTGTATATGAAGATTCTCTCTAATTATTAATATTAATAATGCATGTGGACACTCATGTCTTTCATGGCATATGAGGTATTTTTGGGGTTTTTTGGGGAAGGCAGGGTGACCCGCTTTTTTAAGTTTTAAGAAAAACCAAATATTTTCTTTAATATTAATTTTTAAAATGACTTACATGCTTAAAATGTATGTCACGTTCTACCTTAAGTTACCTCGCTAGTGCTAGAGATACAAAACCTAAAAATCAAAGTGAAAATCAAGGCCAGTGCAAGGAAAAATGCACACAAATTTAGAGTTAATGGATATCTATATGTCAGCACATTTTGAAAATATCTTGCTTAGCATAATGCAAAAATATTTTTTAAGAATGAAAATTAGGTCAGGATGGTGTTATAAAATGTGACTTTCCATTCTTTTGCTAATTGTAAAAAAACTTGAGTAATCAGGTTGAACCAGGTACAATGGAATATTCAACCATTTTTGACCTACCAAAAAAAGTCAATTTATCTGACTTAACCTAATACAAACTTAAATATGTGCATAGTATAAACCTAGCAGAAACATTTTCAAAATTTAAAAAGTATCAATCTAAAATATCATGAATCTTTAATATGTGATACATTTGCAAGCAGAATGGCATTTCTCCTGGCATATTATACCTCTAATGAAATATAGATTTGTATTCAAATGATGATTATCTAAATTCATCTGCTCTTCAAACTCTGAAAGAAGTTGCTCTATTATTCACTGAATTCCAAAGATCTCCTACTCTGGGAGTTCATGTTTCCTGGAATTTTTACCTCAGGCTAATATTATACCTGGTTGAACATCTGTGAGGATAAAGGTGCAGCTATGTGCACTTTGCAGTACTGGGGGAGCAAAGCCGTTTGACCTTTCCTGTTTGAGGGCTCAGAACATCATTAAAGCATCCCTTGGGATTGCGGGCATAACCATGAGAAAGACATCATTTGTAATTAAGTCCTTCCCACTGGCTATATGCCTGTTGAATTCCATGATTAAAATACAAATTCAATATTCTAAATGGTCACAAAGCATTTGATAAAAGGTTATTTTGCTTTTAATGCAATGGGGGAAGGATAACTTTCCAAGGGCCCACTTTTTGTGCTCTCACTCTCAGAAAGTGTCCTGCAGAGAGACTCTTCAAAAGGGCAAACGAAATAATTTGGCAATAAATTGTTCAAATGTTAAGAGCAGAGCTGTTCCAGAAGCTAGTGAGGCCATATGAATATCCTATCAAGTGATAAATATCTTGAGAAGTAAACGCCAACATGTTCCCCTGCTTGCCTGTTGGACTGGTTTTGGTTTCATAGCACCTTTTTTGTAACCTATTCTCTCAGTGTGTTTCTTTTGTCCAGAACGCCCCAACCTTTTCTTCATTTTTTTCAATAAATTGCTATTTCATTATTAACCAGCTTCTACTTATTTTGCAGTGAGGCCCAGATTCAATCGCAGGACTTTTGTTATGTTGTCTTTGATTGTCCTAATGTCAGGAAACTTCTTCCTCCTTCACAATCCCGTTACTGTTAAGATCACCCACTTGCCACTTGTATGCTGCCTTGCATTTTATTTGTATTTTCATACAGTCCTTTAAATCAGCTATCTTGTAAACTTCCTGAGAGACAATAGTGTATCTTTACATGTTCAGTTTCTAGCACACAGCCTTGCTGTTAGAAGCTGATCAAATAATGTTTATTGCTATTGTTGAAGATAATGAGGAAATTCTCTATATTCAGGAGAGAAAGTAAAAACAAAGAGAAAAGCTAATTATTGAACA